CTGCGTGTGATCGTTTTAACAACTAGCTAAAGCAGCTGCGTGTGATCAGCCAAACTCACCGATCAACGCGGAGCGTATATTCAGTTTGCTGCGATGTTGATACTGTGCCTGCTCATTACAGCTGCGCAATACGTCACATATTGATCTGCGAAGCATCACGAACTGTTTGTAGAAAAACTTAAAACTGGCAATCGTATGGACCCCCACTCCCCTGAAGTTGGTTTCCCAATGAGCTGCGACTGTCGCAGACTTAAAGTAGGCTTTGCTGAACGGAGTGAGACCAGCAAGCTGTAGTTTAGCCCTTTTCCCCTGTTTACGATCGAATCTACTGGAGTGCACGGATGTTTTGAGACTTTTTAGAGACGTCCCCGTCCAGTGAGTTGCCACCAGCCAGCACTTTGTGAGCATTGCATTATTTAGGAATATAGTACAGCACAAATACACAACCTTTAGATTGAATGGCTTTGGCTCATTATCTACCATGCAGTCATGATTTTACTGTGATGGCAGAAACATCTCTAAGCACCTGACAGAACAGATCTGGTCATAAAGTGAGGCACCGCCTGTAACGAATTCACTCTGAGCTGTAAAATGACTGAATTTCACAGGTTTGGCACCTTTTTAAACAAGAGTTCAAATGAGATTTAGCATTCAGAGCCGAACTCATCATGCGTTACTTTCTTTTTTTAGTGCATGGTTGGTAAACTGCAGCCACCTGTCAGGCCTCATCCGGTCCAGTGTAAACGCTCTTTGACCCGGTTCTGTGAAAAAAGCGTGCGCCGCGTGATGCAGGACACAGTTTACTGTCTAACACGGGTACACACAGGCACACACAGCAGGTTTTTGTTTTGTTTTTCCAGTAAAACTTTTTATGGAAAGCACATGGTCCAAGAAAGTTCAGTGGCAGTTTTTGTTATATGGGTTGTGCACTACCCAAAGGTTTTGTACAAAAAAAAAAAGAATGGAAAGTTGTAACATGAGCTTTCATAATAAATTTTTGCAAAAATAGGTTTTCTGTTTGTTTTTTGTGTTAATGTGATATTTTTCTCTTTTTTTTCACTAAGAGGTGCAATAAATAAGTATTTACAGAAACACTTTTAACATGATCACAAATGTAAACAGCAGCTTAGCAGAGGTATATATTGTAATTTAAGATGGGTTAGGCACGTTGATTGTTACGGATATAACGTTTTTCCACTGAAAGTCTCTGAAAGGCTCCATTCAGGCCTCGGATGGGAAGACACCGGACACAAACCTCAACATCATTTCTCTCAAAGCGCTAATTTCAGTTTTAGACTAGCCACAAACTTGACGGGTCGTCGGGTGGAAGGGTTAGCAAGTGCTTCGACACAGAAATGGCCGTCTTGTGGCTTGTAGGAGGGATCGGTCCGTTTTCTTCCAGCACTTTGGAGGAAAAAACGTATTGCAGCTCAGCCCGAGCCTCACAAATATTGACTCGGAGCGCATTATTTGGAGCAGTCCGCTGCTGAAATAGCCTGTGGTCACGTCGGTTCAGTTCATACTATATTTTGAGAAAGCAAACATGGCTCTGGAAGGAAATGTGAAGGCACCGACTCCAATGTGACATGTTCCTGTTAGTATTTAAACCCAAAAATAAAAACTGGACTTGGATAATCCCATCGAACATGTTCTTACTCGTTTTGAATCAGTTTGTTTCAGAGTTCATCAGAAATGGTTTGGACATCTTTGCTCTGTGGGGTTTTCAAGATGGGATGAAGCGTCTGACTGGTCCCATGACAGTTCAGTTTAACCTACTGGTTTGAAGAAATATGCAAACTTAAATTCGCTCCCCACAAAAACAGTTGATTGCTTTCCAGTGGAGGTATGGCTCCAGTCCAGTTAATGAAAAACGTGTTAGTAGGTGCATTTCTCTGAGCTCCACGACGATTGAGAACATTCAGACTGAAGATGTCTTCAACCGGTCCCGTTGAAGATCAGTGGCAGCCACAGGCGCGAACCACCATGTTCTTGTATTTCTTCAGGATGACGTTGGAGTTGTCGTCGAAGTAGAGCACTGAAATGGCGTGGAGTTTGGTCGGAGCGCAGCACGGCTTCGGTACGTTCTCAGGGTTCATCAGGTGCACCTGGAATCAGGGGAAACACTTCATTTAGCATCGTCTCCTTCTGGTCTGCTTTTAAACTGCACACCATGCACTTTACAGCATACAGTACATATTTTACAAGTGTTGCAGCCATGCACCTTCAGTAATCCGGTTTAAAAATGAATCCACCATGTCCCATCCTATTTGACTCTTTAAGGTGATTAAAAGTTTATTTTGCCCGATTTAGGATAGATAAGTGGTCCCCAACATTTCATAACGTATACCAACAAGTATCACCATTATAAGCCTTATAAAAAAAGAACATACTGCTGGTTTTTAAGCTAAAATTTCAAATAGGATTACGTATCGGACATAAAAACATAGTGACCAATCTACTTAAATGCCAAATCCAACCGAAACTCAAAACTTGCTGCTTTGTTCTGATCAACAAATCCAATGGGACAGTAACCGAGACCTGATCATCGTAAGCCCTTGCTTGGATGAGGGCATCTAATGGCAACACCCAGTGAACTTCAGGTTCATTACTGAGGACGTGTCCAACAATCTGAACGAACCTAAAGACCTTTGATTTCTAAATCTTAATATGAACAATCTTCACATCTTCATTCCTTGGACTGACATGCACCAGCCTCGTGCCTCGACTTCAAACTATTTTGGCCATTGCGTTGATTCAGGGGAAAGTGAGGTGACCCCACCTCACTGAACAACTGTCGACCAATCTCTAAACTCTGCATTTTAGCCAAGGTTCTAGAAAAACTGATAAACTCTCAAATCAAAAATTACCTGGACTCATTTAACATCTTACCTCTCCATCAATCTGGTTTCAGAAACAACACAGCACGACGACTGCTTCACTGAAGGTTCTTAATGACGTTGTTGAAGCATTGGACACTATTGATTATTGTGCCGCACTTTTCTTAGACCTGTCTAAAGCTTTTGACACTGGATCATAACATCTTGTGTCATAAGCTCTCAGAAATTGGTTTCTCAGATCACACCATTGGTTGGTTCTCTAACTATCTCTCAGATTGGAGACAATGTGTTCAACATAATGGTACTTGCTTCAGTTATTTAACAGTCAACAATGGTGTACCACAAGGCTCAGTCTTAGGACCCACCCTCTTTACAATCTACATAGGTTATGTAGGTCAAAGCATCCTTGACGCATCCATACATTTCTATGCTGATGACACAGTTGTTTATTGTCGAGCTAAAACTGTTAAGGCTTTCCAGCTTTTGAAATCTGCATTTGACATCATCCAGTCTGATTTGTTCCACCTCAAACTTGTCTTAAATGCCGATTAAAACCAAAGTGATGCTTTTTTCAAACAGGAAGTCGGTCCCAGCAGTTCTTCCTCCAATTTTATCCTCATTGAGTTTGTCGATTTCTTATAAATCTTATTTTAACTTGTTAAAAAAAAAATCTGTATGACTTTTTATAATTGTCTATTGTTGTCGCTGTTGTCCATTTTTGTCATCATTCTTTGTTGAAATCAGGTCTCTCTTGTAAATGAGTCCTCGAGGCTCATTGGGATTAACCTGTCTAAATAAAGGTTGAATGAATGAAACTGAGATAAGCCAAACACACCTAACTTAAAGGTTGAAGGGTTTGGTTTGAGGGGTGATGGTTCAATACATCCATTGCTGAGAAAATTATACCCACAGATGTTTTATTCTAACATCCACATGGAGGATGGAACGAAAATGTTTAAAACGAACGTGTACATGAAAGGTGGGCTTGCGATCTTACCAGCGTCTGCACGATGGCGTGGTTGGTGGCGTTCATGTGGGCGTTCAATGGGAAGGAACACTCTCCATCGCAGTAGTTGGCTGCGTAGCCTTCAGGAGCAATGATCCAATCCTTAGACACGAACACGAAAACCAGTTTGATTAGGAAGAAAACCCAGATAGTTTGGTGCTTGTTCACGTTTATCATTCCACGAGTGAACCATGTTCCCGAGGATGATGCTGCTGTTGACTACATCTCTCAGTGCAGTAATATTTCTCTCAGCCAACAAATCAGCAGTTATACCACAATTTGATATGTTTTTATCCACCATATGTTCTTCAATGCCAATAAACTCTATTATTCTTCTCCCTTCTTGAGTTTAAGCTTATTAAAAGAATAAATGAGGAGAAATTCTAGGCTAAAACATGGTTGAAGTGTAAATATTGTTATTGTGATGCTGTATGGGTGAGTGATTGTTGGTACTTTCCCTCTAGATGTCAGTGCTGTGTTAACAGCTTGTTTAAAAGATGAACTGAACTCTGCATGTTCTGGTTGCAGAGTGTCCTGATCAGGTGTGTGGAACAGCCTCTCCTGTTATATCAGACCCTTTATCACTCAATGACAAAGGTCTGTGGTGTTTATGTGAGTAGGTACAGGTGCTGGTCATAAATTTACAATATCATTAAAAGTTGATTTATTTCAGTAATTCCATTAAAAAAGTGAAACTTGTATATTGTATTCACACAGACCGATATATTTCAAATATTTCTTTTAATGTTGATGATTATAACCGACAACTAACGAAAACCCCAAATTCAGTATCTCAGAAAATTAGAATATTGTGAAAGGTTCAATATTGAAGACACCTGGTGCTGCACTCTAATCAGCTAATTAACTCAAAACACCTGCAAAGGCCTTTAAATGGTCTCAGTCTAGTTCTATAGGATACACAACCATTGGGAAGACTACTGTCTTGACAGTTGTCCAAAACACGACCATTGACACCTTGCACAAGGAGGGCAAGACACAAAAGGTCATTGCTAAAGAGTCTGGCTGTTCACAGAGCTCTGTGTCCAAGCACATTCATAGAGAGGCGAAGGGAAGGAAAAGATGTGGTAGAAATAAGTTTACAAGCAATAGGGATAACTGCACTGTGGAGAGGATGGTGAAACAAAACACATTCCAAAATGTGGGGGAGATTCACAAAGAGTGGACTGCAGCTGGAGTCAGTGCTTCAAGAACCACCACGCACAGACGTATGCAAGACATGGGTTTCAGCTGTTGCATTCCTTGTGTCAAGCCACTCTTGAACAAGAGACAGCGTCAGAAGCGTCTCGCCTGGAACTGCTGCTGAGTGGTCCAAAGTTATGTTCACTGATGAAAGTAAATTTTGCATTTATTTTGGAAATCAAAGTCCCAGAGTCTGGAGGAAGAGAGGAGAGGCACAGAATCCACGTTGCTTGAGGTCCAGTGTCAAGTTTCCACAAACAGTGATGGTTTGGGGCTATGTCATCTGCTGGTGTTGGTCCACTGTGTTTTCTGAAGTCCAAGGTCAACGCAGCATCTACCAGGAAGTTTTAGAGACTTCATGCTTCCTGCTGCTGACCAACTTTATGGAGATGCAGATTTCATTTTCCAACAGGACTTGGCACCTGCACACAGTGCCAAAGATACCTGTACTTGGTTTAAGGACCATGGTATCCCTGTTCTTAACTGGCCAGCAAACTCTCCTGACCTTAACCCCATAGAAAATCTATGAGGTATCGTGAAGAGGAAGATGAGATACATCAGACCCAACAATTCAGAAGAGCTGAAGGCCACGATCAGAGCAACCTGGGCTCTCAGAACACCTGAGCAGTGCCACAGACTGATCGACTCCATGCCACGACGCATTGCTGCAGTAATCCAGACAAAAGGAGCTCCAACTAAGTATTGATGCTGTACATGCTCATACTTTTCATGTTCATACTTTAAAGGTGGCCAAGACTTCTCAAAAACATATATATATTTTTTAAATCTTAAATAATATTCTAATTTTCTGAGATACTGAATTTGGGGTTTTCATTAGTTGTCGGTTAAAATCATCAACATTAAAATAAATAAACATTTGAAATATATCAGTCTGTGTGTAATGAATGAATATAATATACAAGTTTCACTTGTTGAATGGAATTACAGAAATAAATTAACTTTTTTCATGATGTTCTAATTTTATGACCAGCACCTGTACATGTTTCTCTGCACCTCATATCAATTAATAAGTTCTTGTTTGTCTCCGTTTTGTTAAAATGTTAAAGGAGTTACCTGCCAGCCCAGCTCTCTGAAGCTGACGTACAGCTCGTGTCGTCTGCATGCCGTCTTCTGATCGCTGCTGTTGTAATCTGAAACAGAAGGACAGAGATGAATGGTACAAAATGGTACAGTTTCATTTTGATTGCAGAATTAGGGTTGCTCATCTGCAACTGATTACCTTTTGAACTTGGTTAAATTCAAGATAGTTGCCATTAGATTGACATTAACCAACACAAAAATAACTATTAAACAAACAACTATACAAATATTGGCCTACAATGTGATGCAAACGTCATCCACACATCCTCTGAGCGTGACAGCTATGACTCTAATTTCTTATCGTTGAGCTCAGTCTAAAATTCTGGCATAAAAGGCGGCGGGTGATATGCATTCCTTCAAGGATTGCTAGGGCTTTCATTTATTTACAGCAGACTTGTGTTTTTCCATGCGCGTCATGCTTGTAAAGTGAAATCAGGCCATGTAAGTATTTCGTCATCTCGCCGCACGACGACAGTTAAACAGCAACAACAAAAAACGAAACCCTCCTTTGGTAAATGATGATGTAAAAGTTCACAATTAAATGGACAGAAAACAAACATTACGCCGTGAGTCTGAGAGCAGAAGAAAAACAAGTTGACTCGTGTAATGCACAGGGCGGGGAGGCGAGCGAGGGCGGAAACCAAAGCATTAACGTGCTCATTACTGAAACGTGCCTCACATTCATCTGCTGGATAATCCATCGGAACATGTGTCCCTCTGAGTTTTCCAGCAGCAGATATTACTTGGCGTGAGGACTTGGCGTGAGACGGTGACAACTGTGTTTATGGGCTCTTGCCGTGCAGTTTGTTGTTAATTATCTCTGTTCCAGACGGTCAACTGCAGACAGGTAAAGGTTTGGGTTTTAGAAGTTTCAACTCTCTTGCCCACTTTCCCTCTTTTACCTCATTGGTATGATTGTTTGGTCATGTCAAAGTTAGATTTTTGAACTTTCACTCCCACAAAGTGACAGCTCAGTGCCGTCAGAAATTTGTAAAGCCTAAAGGGCATGAAAAACAAATCCTTGTTGTAGAAAACTCTTTGAAGAGTCTCAATTTGGAGAAATGGTTTCGTTTTGACCAGATTGACGAGCTAACGACTATTCTAAGCAGAGTCGGGTTCAAAGTGGATTGCTGTCAACTTTAAGTAAAGTGCTGTGTGTTGTCATCATTGTATGTTCCCATACAATGGCCAAGCTGGTTCTCTGCATTTGGTCCATCGCACCTGGGATGCACCCAGGTGAGGCGGTGGGCAGCTATGTGGGCACCCGGGGAGCAATTAGGGATTGGGTGTCTTGCTCAGAGACTGGCTGGGGATCGAGCCTGGGACTTGTGGGTCCTGAGTTGGCTGCCCTGCCTCTACTCCATACCAGCACCCTAAAACAACTACAAACGAGCTGTTGGCTCATTAATCCAGTCAAAATTGAAGTTTTCTCCCCAAATTACAGTTGTTCAAAAGGCCATCTTAAGGTGAGGCATGTGGTGGAATGGTCCATAAAGTCCATGGTTTGGTTCATATCCAGGTCTAAAGCTGGAAACACCAATCTGCCACTGAATCACCGATATATAGGATGTTGAAGCAGTGGAAACAACAAAGATCAGCTGTGAACCAGATGTAAATTCCAAGAATTACTGGTCTGTCTACGTTCCACCTGTGGTCATGAACTCTGGTTCAGGACTGAAAGCACGAGATCCTGGACAAAAGCGGCTGAAAAGAGCTTCCTTTGCAGGGTGGCCGGGCTCAGCCTTAGAGGATGAGGAGCTCTGTTATCCAGGGGGCGGGGCTGCTGCTCTGCATCGAAAGGAGTCAGCCGAGGTGGTTCATCTGATCAGGATGTCTCCTGGACGCTACTCTTCCCACTGGGAAGAGGCCCTGGGTCAGACCCAGAACTCACTATCTTGAGAAGAGTGTCACTGGGAAGAGGGAGTTCTAGGTTTCTCTCCTAGACCTGTTGCCTCCATGACCCGACCACAGGTAAGATGGAGATTTTTCCTTTTTGAAACAATGGCTCGCCGGGTATCTTATTATTTTTGCCAGAATTTCTGAGAGTTTCATTAAAATCTGATTCATAAGATATTTTGCTAACAGACAGACGAGGTTGTCTAACAGTTTATGCTAAAGTTTTATGCAAAGCATAAGTGCTGAAGTATGTGTTGGCCAAGAGTCGGTCGACTCTTGACTAGAACCAAACCGAAGTTTAGCTCATCTGTAAAACTGACTGAATTTCAGCTGTTTCTGTGTCTGCTAAGGTCAGTTACTGGTAGCTGTGGTGGCCATCTTGAACTGGGCTGACTTCAAAGTTTAATAAGTTGTAAATATACACCCAATAATTACTTCGTGAGCATTAATTAAAAATCGTCCAGTGGTTCAAGAAATATTTTGCTAACACAGACAAAAACAATATAGCCCACCTTACGGCAATGTGCAATAAAGGTATGGTAACCTTCCAAGTGTGCGACTGGCCTTTCAGATTTGTTTCCAGCAAATTGTGCATGTGTGTGTGTGTGTGTGCGTGCGTGTGTGTGCATGTGTGTGTGTGTGTGTGTCTCCCTCCACCTCCAGCTGACAAAACAGGCGTGAGTTGGTGAGGTGAGATGCTGGGTGGCTCTGATGAGTGACAAATCTCAGACTGCAGGGTGACTCATGCTTTCTCCGACACACACACACACACACACACACACACACACTAATGACCTGATGTTTATCCCTTCGACGGCCAAAGCCACTCAGCCACTCATTAAAGGTTTGTAATTTTAATTCAGCAGAGCGAGTTGCTTCGGATTTCATCATCGAGTCTAATTTGATTTTTAACAGGAACGGCGACGGCTCCGCCCAGACCCGAGTGTTCCAGCTGGACCCGGGTCAGATTTTACAAACGAAAAAGAGAGAAAGTTGGATTTATCGTCTCGCACTGAAGGAATGAAGAGAAAGGCACCACAGGGCAACCTTGTTAGCAATGACACAAACTTTTAGACCATTTATTTCTGTAGGAGGAAGGAAACTAAAGGTGAGACGGTGCGCAGAGGTCAAAGGTCACGCTCGGACAGTCAGGTGTTTCCCCAGTTTATGGCTCCTTCCTTTCCAATAGGAAGGGCAGGCCAGTGCAAATGTGGAAATACAAAGTTTACTGTATATATGCGTGTGGAGAGAAACATAAATGTGTTTGTCCTGCTTCCCGTGAACCGACTGACCTTCCAGCCTCCTCCACAACAGAGAGGGCTCAGACTTTACGGTTTTCCTTTAGGGGAAACTTCCACAAGTGAAAGCACTCCTTGAAGTTAGGGATGCACAATATTGGATTTTTGGCCAATATACGATATGCCGATATGTTAGAACTTATTTGGCTGATAATCAATACCGATATGTTTTCCTAGACCTACTTCCAGAGACTACACAGCTTTCTCTGCTGTGGAATTAAAATACATTATTCTCACGGTCTTTGTCAGGTTGACCTGCTGCCAAATGCAGATGCTAAAAAGGAGGCTGAAAATGATGTAACACTTCAACTTGGATTATGTTTAATGTCAGATTTATTCATGACATTTACCGTCTCGAACACAATGACAACACTGGAACAGTGCAAATTTTCATGAATCTAAACTCAACCTGTTCACAAGTAACAAGTGCATAAGTACTGTAGTAGTGCATTAATAAATATACTTGACAGTTTTCTTAATTAAAATTAACTTAAAACAGAAGCCTTTTATATCTGTGAATTTTTGTGATGGACTGTCCGATATTTAACTTTATCGCTAATATCGGCCGATACCGATACCATGACGATAATATCGTACATCCCTACTTGAAGGAATGCATATCGCCCGCCGCTTTGCGTGCCTATGCTTTTAAGCAAAGATTTTACGCAATCCTCAGAGAAATCAAACTGTACATTTAAGTTAGTTGATAAATCTCCACCTCCTTAACAAATCGATAAATGTTTTAAAAATAGGATGTTCCAAGTCAAAGATTCCCAAACTTTCCCAACCAACAAAACAAAAGTCACAGAAACTCGTGACCCCGACGTTTGCAAATGCTGCTGATGTGTAACAAGCATCGCACACATTTTTATACATGTGTAACCATCGGTTATATTACTTTGTAACTGTTTGGGTGAGCTTGGTGATCATTTTTAAAATTCATTTGGTTTCTGTGGATTTTCTCAAGACCTTACAGTTTGTATTCAATGTATTGTGTAAATACTAACACTTCTGACTAATGTACAATACTGAGCACTGCCCTACGCTTTCACAGAGCCCCCCCACCCCGTCCGCTTTATGATGCGTGACTTTCAGCTTCGGGTCAAATCGCAGCTCAAGGTGGAAGGCGACTGACGCTGTGCGCTCAAGACTTCAACACCCGGAGGATTTGATATGACGAAAAGTGGCGTGGGAACAACAGAAACAACATCTCTACCGTCTAATCCGGAGAAATTATTTATACAATTCAACATGGCTTCCAAATGCACAATAAAAGAACAAAATGTTTTGTTTTCTAAAACAAAGACCCATCGTACCTAGAAAGAATGTGTATCGCCCATCTTGCCAGAATGTAAGAAAACTTTACAAAGTTGGAACCATTCTGGTTAACTCTTGTAAATTATGTTTGTAATATTATGAGATCTTGTCAGAGCATTCAGAATATGTGTTGTGGATGACTCTCAGTTACTACAATACCAAATCTTTGGGTGTAATATCTGTAAAATTGCCAGAATTTATTTTGTTAATCAGGCGGCCATCTTGAAATGGGTTGACTCCAAAAGCTAATCAGTAGATGCCCATCCAACTGTTAATTTGAAAGTTACATAAAACACGTCCGGGAGTTCATGAGCTGCTGTACCAACACATCGGACAAATGAACGCTTTGTCCTTTGGCGGCAGGCGATGATCAAAGGGTTTCAAACTCTTTCGCAAGTGCAAAAAGCAGCACGCGTATCAATAACATGCTGACCTGTAATCAGCTGTTAGGGTTTTAAAAACCTCCTACAAAATGAATTAAACTCTGAATAAAATAATGAAAATTCCTTTTCCTTTCGTCACATTCTCCCTCCACCTCC